TTTTAACATCAGGATGGAACCCCTCTCTGCTTGTGTGCCTTTCCCCTCCCTCCCAGCCCCGAACCACCTCTTCGACGTTCCACATGCCGGTGAACCAACCCTCAGATCCCCCATCGCAGGAGGTGACGGGGCAGGTTTTGCCCTTTCTCAGACCGAGCTGCCTCTTCCCTGTTACCTCCCACTTCTCCACCCACCCAGGAATGTGCTCCAAGACGGTCCAAGTGGCATTTGCAAGGACACTGCCAGCCAGCACCCACTGGGAGCTCTCAGCACCCTTGGACACAGCATCTCCAGGCTCATCATTTTTTTACGGGCAAGCTCTGCAAGTAATAACCACCCCGACCCTCGTTCACTGCTGGTTACTCTCTTTGAGCCCTTCCTCCAGGTACCTGGCCCAGGAGACCCTGTTGGTGAGGACTGAGGCAAAGAAGGTGCAGGGCACATGAGCTTTGTCCACATCTACTACTGCTTGTGGTGGTGCCTTTGTGAACACTTGCCTTCTCCAGCTAAAAGAGTCTGTCGATGCACAACGACCATCAGATCTTCTATAACCAGAGCTCTTGACGATCTGACGTTCCTTCCTGATCTCGACCAACTGAGCTTTGGCTTTCCTAACATTGCTCCTACAGGTAACATTTCCAGATTTCTCCTTTGTGCTGCCTTTTTGCGCTGGAGCTCAGTCGTGAGCATCATTCCCAGTTTAGCCAAACCCATCTCTCACTACCTATGTACCTGATTATCGAGGTGGGCTTAGAAGATCCTGCCCTAAAGACCTGCCAGCTCTCCAGAGTGGGCTCCCACAGGATCCCACTGAGGAGCTCCTTGGAACAGCCACAGTACCCGAGAGGCAAGCAGAGCCTCAGAGGTGGTCACCAAGTTCAGAGACAGTCCAGACTACCAAGTGCGTTCACAGTGGTGAGGAAGTCCCAGGGTAAGTGCGAGGTTATGATGAGGTCTGGTGGGGGCAACCACAGGCAGACACACTCCAGACAGGTCCATAGCAATGAGGAAGGTCTGAGACCAGGTCAAGTGAGCCCACAGCCAGGCCCTGCTGAGCTGGAGACCAATGCCCCTACAACTCAGACTGATGTAAGACCAAAGGCCCAGAAATTAAATGGGTTCCTGGACCCCTGGAAGGTAGAGGCCCCTAGTGAGATCCATGAAGACCTCTTAATGTCCTCAGGAAGTGCCCAAGGTGACCCAATTCTGGAAATCAGCAGGGGAAAGGTTCATTAGCAACAGAAGAGCCTGGTACTGCTCAGCTCTGGCATGGATGACTCCGATTTCGCCTCACGCTGGGGAATCCAGGTGGGATCACGGAGGATGAAGCCACAGGGATAAAGTGATACCAATTAGAGAGGGCAGAGAAAAGAGCCCCAGGCAATTACCGCACCTACGGAAGCGTGACGGGCTTAAATCCCGCTCCTTCGAGGCAGCACAGTCCTCCTCCGAGATCACCCTGAGAACCGACAGCCCCAGGGACAGAGGAATGAGGGAAGCACCAGCGCAATTCAAACGGGGTGGGAGGGTTTCGATCCAATTTTAACCAGACACCAAACCGAACCGACAACGCAGCTTCTTCCCCTTTTCTCCTCAGGGGAGGACAGAGGTGAGTCAGCAAACGGCGGCCTTCTGATGGATGGTCCATGCGTCCGCAGAGCGAACCGTCCCCTCTCCCGGAGGGATTAACCGGGCGAGACCAGCCGGCAGCTGCCTCTCCACAGCCCTGCGCAGCCCCACGCCTTCCACGAACCCGACATCACATAACCAGAACTAAATCTGGGTTTTTTCAATCCCTGTCCACCATTTTATATTTACGGGTATTTGAATTTAATCTTTTTTTATTGCCCAATTTCTTTCCATCCACGGGACCCTTTGTACGAGCAGCGAACTGTGGTATTTGCCTACTTTTGCTGATCATTTTCAAATACGGTCGACACAGACCCCGATGTTTTCTGCTGCCTCCTACCTTTCAGAAAACGTAAGGACCCCTCACCTCCCATCCTAGCACGGCTTTTTTTCTTTTTTTTTTTTTTAATGAGCCTTCACTGAGGGACCTCAGCAAATGAGCACGCTAGCAACTGATTCCTCTAACAAAAAAACAAATGCAGAGAGCAAAGGCCTCAAATCCTCCCGTTTGTCTCTTTCACAACACTCCCCGCACCAGCAAAACTCTCCGTGACAAAGTTGTTTCAGCCTCCAAAGCCAGGTCGAATTTTAAGCCCTGCTGGGTGCCTGAGGGTCCCTTTTGATGCATTTGCCTCTTGTTTACAAAAGATTAAATCCCTCTGTTCCATTCATTCGTCCACAGGCAACAACTGTTGCTCATCAAAGCAAAAATTTGAAATCTTGCCCATCTCGTTTTCGCCTTTTTCAATTCTCCTTTAAGCCCTAAATGAGTCCTGCTTTTCCCCGAGGTTTCACACTCAACTCCACAGCCGCTGAACACAGTGCAAATAACTGCTCTGTGAGAAGACTTAAGAGAACAAAATCTTGTTTCCTCACAGGCAAATCCAGGCGCCCAGCTCAGAATTACATGACAGAAACCTGACATCCCCGTTGCAGCAAGCTGCGGTTCCACAAAATTAAATTCATTTTTCTCCATGTTAGTTTTACCTCTGTCTGGAAACAGAAACCCTCACCGAGGTTAGCTTTGACAGGGCGATGGGCTTCGGCCTTCCTTGTGGGTGCTCTCCATGGCTTAGCTCCGAAGTGAAAAAACACCACAAAACCCCAAAAGTCGCTTGGTGAAAATGATCCAAAATCACCCAACGATGTTTAGCTCTGCAAAACGGCTCCGGCCCGCGCAGAAATCTGTGCCCTGAACCACAGATGTGATCAAACAGTAATTAAATGATGAAACTGCCTATGAAAATACCTGCTCTCTTGGGCTGTAACCACAGCAGAGGCAGAAGAAATCTTAACACTGGCTGATTGTTTTCTTTACTTTTTCTTTTTTCTTAGACCTTTCAACACCCAGGTACTTTCCAAACAAATCCCGTTCCTGCTGTGACACAAAGATCTCCATCTTTCCTCTAAGACTTTTGTCTCAAAAGCTTTGCTGGAGCTGGCCAGACAGCTTTAAAAAAACACAACACAGAAAACAAAACCAAGAAAAAAAGTGTTTCCGGTTCTAACAGCAAAACCCTTGGTGCAGCAGCACTCGCTGAACATTTTGGCATTAGTGCCCAGCTGAACCAGAGGTCCTGCATGTTCCGTAGCTTTTCCACTCCACAAAGCAGAATAAATCTGCCGCGGATGAAGCCTGCAACAACTCTTTGTCATCCTGCCTCCACCTTCTCAGTTTCCAGCTCGTCGCCAGCTCCCTCTTCTCCCAACGTGGCAGGAAAGGTGCCACAGGGAGGTGATGTGGGGGGAGAGCCGGTGGGCGTTCGAGCTGCGAGCGCGTTACCTCCTTACTTCTTCTTGCTCTAATTAGAACTGACACCTTGTTTCACAACTTGAAACCGCATTCGCAGCTGAAAATAGAACATAGAAGGAGAATTTCCCAAATCTTATGCCGATTTAGGGTGATCGTTTCCATCCTGCAAACCCAGAGAAGAGCAACCCCACTAGAGGAGATTGCTCAAAGTCCCGTCCAACCCGGCCTGGAACACTCCAGGGAGGCGACATCCACTACCTTGCTGGATAACCTCTCTAATTTTCACTCTGTAATCATAAATCCTTTGTATTTCTACCTTCTTCCTTTCAATTAACTCAGCCACAGCAAAGCAGCTGCTTCGCTTGGATTTTCGCGAAAGGGTGTGAAAGCGAGAGGGTGGGGAGAACAGACCGTAAACGCCTCGTGTTTATGGTATTTCAGTGTGATTTACAGAAACTCAGAAATACCGAATGGATCTAGAGCTCAGGGCTGCTTACTCTCCAAAAAAAAAAAAAAGAGAAGCAGCTGCTATTGTTCTGTAAAGAGAGGACAAGTTAGCTCATCACGCTGCAACATATCCGCCTGGTGAGACAAGGCTGTGCTCGGCAGGGCGATAGCGAAGAACGTGGCAGGGCTCGTACCAGGTGAGATGCACAAAATCTTTTATTCCAGTCGTGAATTGGAGAAAGCATCACATCCCCAGCTCGCTCTTTTGAGAGTTCAGCCAGCACACGGAGAGGTCACGCTTGCCCGGCACAGGCATGGACTTCTGAGGACAATAGGCACTTTGAGAGGAAGACCAGCTTCAAAGTACAAACACCGAATGGTTTGGCTTAAATTTTTAATATAAAAAACTCACTAAAAATGCTAAAATGTGACAAACCCATTGGAAAGACTGTGACGAACGTTCGCCCTTGCACAGGAAAAACCAAAACAAAACCCAGACTCGGCAAGAAGCTTTGAAATGCGTGTTTTCTTCTTCTGCCCGGCCCATCGGGCCATCACCTACTTAAAACGTTCATCTGAAAAAAAAAAAATCCATGGCACCTTCACCTCGTACTTCAGCGCAGGAGGTTACTCTCGATGGACCAGCACAAATAAACCCAGTAGAAAGAGGACTGCGTACTGTAAGAGGAAGGAGAGAAGACACAAGAGTGTGCGTTTGCATCCAAAGGCATTCTCAGGGAGTGATTTTAACCAGGGCAGGAGAAGCAGGCAGGAAGCCAAAAGAGCTCTTACCTTAAATTTTGGATAATCATTCATTAAGATAGTCACTATTCCAATATAGGGCACGAATCTACAAGAAGAAAAGTTTCATTAAAACAAATGGTCTTCCAGGGTGTGCAGGGGAAAAAGCATTGCCCTTGGTACTTGTACTCCCCGCAGCACCTTTTGAGATGCCTTCAGGCACAAAAACCCAGTATAGAGAGTTCGAGGGGATGGGGTGTGGGGATTAAAAGAGGGTTATTGGGGAGGGCAGTGTAAAAAGCCACACCTTTTCCTCCTTCACTTACCCTCTCGCTCGTCCCACTACATCCTTTTTCTCCAACCAGTGCTGCCCTCGTTTGTAGAGCCCTCTGTCGTCAACTGCATTATTGTCTCCCTTTGTCAAGAATTTGATGTCGCCGTTTTGCCTGGCGAGGATGAGACAGCCAGGGAAGTCAGAGAAAAAGAAATATTGAGATCTGCACTAGAGAAACGAAGCAAGACATTGGGTTCTGGGCTTCGTACTACCCCCAAAACAAGATTTTGTGGTTAAAGCATCCAGTTCTACTCAGCAGTGGTCAGAAGGGAGCTGAAACTTAAGAAATTATTAGGAAAGGGGGACAGAAAAAAAAAAACCTGAGACCATTAGGATACTGCAGGAACTCACAATGAGCCTACATGATGAATGCCCAGCGGCAGAGAACCAGGAAAATGGCACCATCGAAGAAGAGACCTTAACCCTCATGATCCCTCCGCTTTATTCTGAATGTGATATGTATCATCAAGGGTTATCAGCTCTAGCAGGAGGCACTGTCGGCAAAAAACACGCTGTCACCTTCAGACAGCGCAGCCTCTTAGGAGAGACTGAGACAAAATTAAAAATCAACAAACAGAATTGATTCTGTTGAGCTCAAACTGGGACTGACAGGTTAAAACGGGCCAGAGAAGGTGCAAACTAATACATGTCTCTCTGGAAGGATACTTTGGCTGCCAAAAATTTCTATCAGCTCAAAAGTGACCAGGCAAAAAAAGGAGGCTGTTACTACAGAACTGTGACTTTGTGCTTGAAATTTGCGGAAAGTAGTGAAATTATCACCATATACTCTTGCTAGTCCTTAATTTGTGCTGAGAAAAATTAGTTAGCTTGCAAAAACAGGATCCTGAAGTGAAGGAACTTACACTTCAACTTGTAAAAAAAGAAGGGGGGGGGGGGGGGG